GACATGGTGCAAGGCACACAGTGAGTGACTATGAGGAAGCATTTAACTAGAATCACGGTTGCACATCCTCAAGGCTGCTGACGATACACACAGATTTCAGGGCTCAAAGCGATAATTCATGTAAAGCCTTCGTTGTTATCTTTACTAGGCTGTGACTAGCCACCAGGCTATGAGAGGTGACCCCGAGTGGTTCTGCGGGACCTCAGCCTCTGAACGAATGTCATCATCCTGCTGAGTTCCTAAATCCACCGTTATTAAGTTAGGACATTCTTTTCATGGGCAAATTCCAAAGTAGAATTGTCAGGCGTTGCATAATTAGTGAGATTTACTGGCACGAATTATTTGCCTTTTGAGTGTTGACCCTTGGGTCTCTGGAAGACTTGAAGAGCTAAAAGTTCAACTCTTCCTCCAGATTCAGGTCCCCAGGATCCCCCCCTGCCCAACCTGTTTCTGCCCTCCTTCCCTTCCACCCAAGGAAGCATGTGAATGTGGTGCCCAGAGTTCCCGGGGCACCTGGCCAAGGCCACTGTTGACACCCACATACCCAAAGAGAGTGCATGCGTCTCTGGAGTTCTTTCCTCTCAAAGCCCAGAGCCGTGACTGTCCCCTGCAGACACAGGATTTCAGGTCAACTCAAGCCAGAGGTCAGTCAAGTCCCAGGCCAGAAAATGCATTGGCTGGAATGTTCCTTAGAAACAAATGAGTTTCTCTGTGATATAAGGGTTAGACGGAAGCAGGCAGGTTAGCGTGCCATGTGTCAGAAGATTTCATTTAGATTGAGAGATGTGAATAAATGGCCTGGAGATAATGCTTACTGGCAATTTGGGAAAGCCAGCAGGACAGACATAAACTTCTACCAAGGACAGGGTGCAAAGGCCCACGGGTAGCTCCTGAGGGGAGGTGGCAGGTGAGATGGGGAAGGGAGACCTCCCCATCCAGGGAAAGGCTCTCTCAGTACTTACCTGTTTTAGCTATTGGTCTTTTCAGTGAAATTTGTTTAAACACACAAAGGCTGCCCCTGCATCATGTTTTTCCAAAATTGTCTGGTCCAGTTCCTTTCCCTCAGCTTTGTATGGTCAATTTAGCTTAGTTTTCTCCTCCCTTAATGAGGACTTACCAACTTTTTTTGCTTGCAAATGTCTATAACCAATTACACAGACTTTCATGAGAAAGCTTTATCAAAACAGTAGACACGTGTTACTGCCTTGCTCCTATAAGCAGAAAACCACCCAGGACCGTGCATTTGCAGAATGGTTTTCAAACTTAATCTATGGCTTAAAGGCTGAGACAATTATCAAAGGCTGTTAAGTTCACTCCTTAGTTTGAAAAAGCAGAACTGAAGTGGACACCCCTGTGTGTCCAGAGCTGCACCCTCCCCAAGGCAAGGCAAGGCAAGGCACTCAGGGGTTCCTCCATCCATGCAGGGCTGATGACCCAAAACACACACTTTAGTTCAACATTGGGAAAACGACAGCCCTATTCCTTTATTGCTTAAGGAAGAAAGAGGCGTGTACAGAGGCCCACTGCTCACCCACCCAGACCAGGAATCATTGCTGGAAGGAAGAAACACCTGGAATGTACGGACGAGGACTTCTGTTTTCCTTCTGTCCATGGGTTTCCCAATCCAGGGGCTCGCCTCCTGCAGGAGGCCCTCCTCAACCAAGTCGATTAATTTCTGTGCCAGCAATGTGCAGACAACCTCAGAAAAGGGCCTGTGCTCTCCTTCCACGGTGCTGCCTGCACTTTCCTTCCAGTAGGAACTTTCCCATCATGCCCATGCTGTTGAGGTGATGGTGCTGTGCTTTCCCTCCAGTAGGAGGCTTCCCATCATGGCCCATGGTTGTTGGAGGTGATGATGCTGCCCGTGCTTTCCTTCCAGTAGGAACTTTTCCATCATGTCCCGTGGTTGTTGGAGGTGATGATGCTGCCTGCGCTTTCCTTTGAGTAGGAACTTTCCCATCATGGCCCATGGCTGTTGGAAGTGGTGGTGCTGCCCAGAGGTTTCTCTCGCCACCCGCCCTTTCCCTGAGAGGGTGCCTCCATCCTGCAGCTCCAACCACCTGCTGCTTTTGACAGCCAATATCTTCTGCACGAATGTCTCCTGTGAGCACCAAATCCAAAATGCCCAGCATCCTGCTGGACAATAGATTTTTCAAACTCAACATGCCCCAACTCAACGCCTCATCTTCCCCCTTCTTCCTTCCCAAATGTATGGTTCTTATCTTCCTTCTCTCCCCAACCCCCTGCACATATTCAACTTACCTTCTTCTTTGCTTCAAAATGTCTACTACCCATTATGTAGATTCCAAGTCCTCTAGATTCAACCTTAGTAAGGTCTTTGCTCCCACCCACTCCTCCATATCCCCACAGCAACAGCACCATTTCCCGACCTCCGCACCTCTCATCTGGCCTTGCACTGCTCTCCAACCGTTCCTGCAGGCTTGCCTTTCTCTGTCCATCCTCAGCAAACCACCAGGGCATCCGTCTAAGGCAAGAGGCTCTGATCACCTTATTTTCCAGCTGAAACCCCTCAGTGGCTCTCCCTGGCTGGCCTCCCTCTCATCCTGCCTCCTGCTGGCCCAGGCCCACCTCATTCCTTATCTCCAGCTACACCAATGCCTGACTTTTTCCAAACACACTGCATCGTCTTGCACAGAGTGTCTCTGCCCGCCCTCCCCACCAGCAACTATTTTCTGTCTCTCATGTTTCCACTAAGCAGCACCACCCCCATGACCACGTTTCCCCAGCATAGCACAACGCACCCTTGGTGCACGCTGCTCCCTGGGCAAGAATTTTTTTCTCCTTGCCTGCTCAGCTACTGGACTGTAAGCTCCTTGCAGACAGATGTTAGGTCTTGATTCTCTTCCTCACATCCCTAGTGCCTAGCATAGTACCTGGTACACAGAGAGTACATAATGAATATTTAGGGAAAGAGGCAAGAGAAGGGAGAAGAGGAGAAAAGAGAGAAAGAAAAAAGAGAAAAGAGAAGAACAGAGAAAGAGAAGGAAAGGAGTCAAAAGACCAACAGAATTGGGTTATACACTGCCCCTATACCTGGGGAGTTAAGATGTGTGTGCACATTGTGTGTGTGTGTGTGTGTGTGTGTACACGCACACACGATGCTACGGTCCTTTAAACAATTTAGCATAACTCCAAGTACAGCTCAAGTTGCAAATTGTAAACACACCTAGAGAGCCACAGCATTTTCCTTGGAAGACATTCACGGAGTATTACTCAGCACATGTCACCAAAGGCCCACCATGGGTCAGGCCTCGTGCTAGGCACTAGGAAGACAAAAAACAGATGACAATGTGTTTTTATCATTGAGAAGCTCAGAGGAAAAATCTGGGCAGCAAACAAATGGTCCAAATCTGGCCGGCAGCTGTTTTTGTAAATAAAGTTTTATTACAACACAGCCACGCCATTTACTATCGGGCCCCTTGCAGAAGACATCTGCTGGCCTTGCCCTAGATAGTAGAGGCCTCCAGGCCCTTGGCCTTGTCCACTGCCAACAGCACAGTGCCTAGCCCCTTGCTAAATGCTCAGCAAACCCATCCTCAAGGCTCCAGAAACTCTCTGGAGTCGGGCTCACTGGTAGAGAAGAATTACTCCTCCTTATCTAATACGAAAATAAGTGTGCATTTTCCTCCAAGCAAAGGCATGCCGCTAGAAGAGGCAGCATGATATCCAGCAGCTGTTGGTGACCTCTCTACAGACATGACAGACTCATCTCCGGGACCAGCCCTTTATACAGAGACTTCCATCCAGCATCCTCACGATATCTGGCCCGGGCTGTACAAATCCAGAGACCTAGAAACAGAAACTGTGATTCCTCTTGAGAAGTGAGGCTGCTATGTGGCTGGCGTCCACACCACACTGCCAGCTTCAGGCTCTATTGCCTTATCTTAAATTACAAACTCTACCAGAAGAAAATGTCAGCCTTCTGCTGTGGTTCGGAAGGCTTTGTGTGTGTTAACAATTGTCTTGGAACCTGCACTCAAGACGACCTCAAGCACGCTTTGTTCTTCTGCTCTGGACATGTCGTGGCCATCAGGGTGAAGAGAGAGATGAGAACAGAGGCTTGGACAAGACAGCCCTGGCTGACCAGTCAAGTGTAGAAGACACATACACACATTTCCTTTTTTTCTTTTCTTTTTCAACTTTTATTTTAGAGTCAGGGAGTACCTGTGCAGGTTTGTTACAAAGGCATATAGCATGATTCTGAGCTTTGGTGTACGATTGGCACCCAGGTAATGAGCATAGCACCCAACAGGTAGTTTTTCAGCCCTTGCCCCTGCTCCCCTCTCCTTGGTCTAGTAGTCCCCAGTGACTACTGTTCCCATCTTTATGGGAATAGCAAAAACACAGAATCAACCCAGGTTCCCATCAATGGTGGATTGGATAAAGATGTGGCTCATATACACCATGGAGTACCATGCAGCCATAAAAAAGAATGAAATCAGGTATTTTGCAGCAACGTGGATGTGGCTGGAGGCCATTGTCCTAAGCGAATTAATGCAGGAACAGAAAACCAAATACATCATGTTCTCACTTATCAGTGGGAGCTAACCACATACCTTTCGGAAAGCACCAGAACACTGGTTTGTTCCTGCTTTGTCTTGGCACCAACCCACTTGACCCCTGACTCATCTTTCTCTGCAACACTCCTGTTTGCTTTTCTCTAACATGGAGAAGGTAATTCTCAGGGGAAGAACTAAGCCCAAACATCCTCTAAGACAGTAAAGCGTTAACAGCTTAGAAAGAGCTGCAGACTATTAAAATGTGAGCTGCATTAGTCAGCTGAACCGAGAATTCTCATCCTGGCCCTTGCTCTTGGAGGGAGTGCATGCCTTAGTGCTTACTCAGCCCTTAAGCAGGCTTCGTTGTTTTGTGTGTGTTTGTTTCCCGTGACTGTGTTGAACTTTTTTTAAACTGTGGTTTAAGAAAAAAAAAAAAAGTTGATCAGTAAGTCAAAGTGTCAGAACTGTCTGGGTCAAAGCAGGCACTCATAGGGAAGCAGGAAGGCCAGTCTGTAGGTTTAGGGGAAGGGAGGGGAGGAAACCAAATTTTCATTCCACACCAAGCCTGCAAAATCATACAGACAGGAGAGCCCAGACAAAGCTAAATGTCATTTTCTTTATCCTAATTTATTGATTTCTGCTGGCTGTCAGGAGCGCTCAGGGGAGGAAGTGTGCTGAGTCCACAGCTAATGCTTTTTGTTGATCTCACAATTAGTGGGCCCGGGAGCTTGGGGAAGGGGGTGCCATGGAGTGCAGGGAAATGGTGACGAGATGCAAAAGAATCGTGGTGGCCAGAGCAAAAAAATATGTGCTCACATTTCTCTCTCTGCAGTGTTTCCGAAAACGCCTCTTCGTTTACTTGAAAGAGACCTCATGCCAAAAAATGCGTGGCATCATCTCCCACCTGCTCAGTCATGCCTTGAATCTCAAGCCCAGAAACGGAACTGCTGCCGGTGGGGGGTACACCCGAAAAATCATCATCCCGAGAACACCTGTTAAAAAGTTCACAATAGCAGAAATCCCCGGTGCTGCATGGAGAATCTTCACTCAGGTGCGTCACCCCCTAGATGGTAGAAAGGTCCAGGGGCAGGTGTCCAGTGGGGCCAGGGAGACGCGCAGGTTCGAGGTTGTTCTACAACCCCGAGAAAAATATCTGGGCCTCAGAATGTCAAGAGAGCTAGTTCTTCAGAGTTCAATTTTCCATTCTGCTACTTTGAGAGGGACGTGGGCTTTCACTATGCTCATTATTTTCATGAAAACTCATTACAAAACTGAAACCAACATCACAGAACAATGAGGAATCACCAGCCCATTGCACAAGTTCAGAGAGGCACATATGGCCACTGCAATGCTTCCTTTCCAAAGCTCTTTGGTTCTTGTGTGGAGTGGCCTCCGCCACGGGCTTTCCCGGGTCACATCTGCTCCGCACTTTTTTCCAGGTGCCTCTTTCCCCCGAGGCCTCACCTCCGGCCTGGGTGGGCCCCTGGACAGGCATGCGGCACTGACCCCGCTGCAGTCTCCAGGTTCTCAAAGTCAGCTGCCTACTGGATATCGCACCCCTAAAGTCCCACCAATGTGTCCTCAACAGGATCTCCTCACGGCCCCCCTTTCTGGTGAAGGCTGATCAGCTTCCAGCCACACAGATGTGAAGCCTCGCTGTCTCCAAGGAACCCCGGAGTCCTGTTGATTCCCCTTCTGAATATCTCCTCATTCTGACCTCCTCCTCCTCACACCCACTGCCCTCCACCCGGCCCAGCCTCAGCCCAGAAGGGCCTCCTCTCCACACTCTGTCCGGGTGTCTGCTGCCTCACCTCTACCCTGCCCTCCGCCTCGCCTCTACCCTGCCCTCCGCCTCGCCTCTACCCTGCCCTCCGCCTCGCCTCTACCCTGCCCTCCGCCTCACCTCTACCCTGCCCTCCGCCTCCCCCTGGAAGGCTGCTCTCCTTCTCCGGGGTCCTTCACTGCCCACTGAACCACCTCTCAGTCTGGCCTTCAAGGACCCAAATCCACCAACCCACTCTTCTCTTATTCTCCAACACCAAACCTCAACACCATCACACTGTCCTCTGCCACTGCATGAACGTCCATCCCTCATGCCTGTGTCCCCGCCATCATCTTATTTAAAATGCCTCTCCCTCTGATCTGCCCATTCAACGCCTCGTCGAGGCCAAATTCCAGTCCCTCCCTCCCTGTGGCAACCTTGCCTGACTCTGCAGCAACTGCAGCCCCGTTCTTGTCCTTGCCTGTGTGTCCACCATGTTGCTTCATTATAGTGGGACGTCAGTCAGCATTAAAAGCTGCTGTCTCCTCTACTTCCTTGTACCCCTTATCAAAGACCCCCGTGGGCTCATTTGCAAATTCAGAAAAACGTTCCCCTTCCTCGGAACACTACCGCTCAGATGATTGTCACATTTACTGAGTCTGTTCACATTTATGAACACATTTATGAAGCCTGAGATGAATGGTGGCCCTAGGATGGCTGGTGACAAGCCTGCCGGAGCCCAGCCCCCAAGGTTCGGGGGGCAGGATCACTTTCCACCCACTGTGCACACCAACTTCAGGTTCTTCATTTCCCGGCTTTCAAGTAGGCTTTGTCTATCTCTAGCAGAAACAATAAACAGTCTGAAAACCAAAGCACTTTTGGTTTGCAAAAGCCAGGCTGCACTGAGAAAGAGATTTCCCTTAGAATTCTGAAGGATGACTTCACACATCAAGAACGAAGCTACGGCTTGGGAGTGCAGGTTTATGCCATGACTATGGGGAGCAGAAATGGACAGAAAATGTGGGTTGGTGTCAGAGAATAGCTATTTATCTACCGGAAAGAAAATGATGGATTACCAATAGGCAGGAAGAAGGGAATCCACAGAGAATATAGCTTAGATGCTCAGGACGAAGCTGAGAATATTTCCCCCAGCTCTCCCCCTCCACACTGTGCCCCTCCCTCAGTGAAAATGCCAGCAGCGGAGGCAACCAGAAGTTTCAGAAACCCCAGGTGGGCTTGGGAGGAACTAATTAGCTTGGGAGAGTTAATATCTCAAAACAGTAGTTATCATCTGATGGATTTTCCCTTCATGGGGATACATCTCCTCACCGACACTGCAATCAGCTCCCGGGGCAGGCCCGTGGCACAGGTGTGCACACACCTGGCAGCCTTGGCTCTATTCTCTGCCCACCAGAGTCCAGCAGCCAGCACATAATCCCCTTGTTACTACACTGCTCCACTCCTAATAAGGGCAGGGCAGCGTCCCAGAGACTGAGGGGTTACAGAGACTGCTGACCCTGTCCTGAAGAAGGGGCCGTTGGGTCCTTCACTCTTTGGTAGGCAAAGCGGGATAAAAGTGGCTGCTAAAATGTATGGCAGTGTGGAGGGCTGAGCAGTTATTCAGAACTAGGGGATCAGGGATGACTTCATGGAAGAGGTGGACCTTGGCTTGAGCTGGAAGGGTGAAGAGCGTGTGCTATTATTTCTTCATCGTCCACCTTCTTCAGACCAAGGAGAAAAGGGGATTTGGCCCCATCAGAGGAGGTCACTGCCTGCTCTCTGCAGGGACAGCTGGGCCTGGCATCTACCCGCCAGGTTGGGCCCCCAACTCTACTTTGGTTAACTCTCTAACCCTGAGACTCCTGCCTTCACCTCTTGAACCCATTTTGTTCCTCTGTAAAATAGGAAGAGTCACGTTGCCTCCCTGGCCGGTTTGCTGTGAGAATTAAGTGAAAGAGCAGTTACATTTCATCCGTGCTGACTTCCTTTCTGTTATGGACTGAATGTTTATGCTCCTTACAGCCCGACCAAAATTCCTATGTTGAAAAAAACCCAACTCCCAAGGCAATGAATGGCATTAGGAGGTGGGGCCCTTGGGAGGTGATTGGGTCCTGAGGTTGGAGCCCCTGTGAGTGGGATTAGTGCCCTTATCAAAGGGACCCCAGAGAAGAGTCTCACTCTCTTCCCACCATGCGGGGACACAGCTAGAATGTGCCATCTGCAGTCCGGAAGAGGCCCTCACCGGAACCCAACCATGCTGGCACCCAGATCTCAGACCCCCAGTCTCCAGAACCGTGAGGAAGAACTGTGTGTTGTTCATAAGCCACCAGGCTCTGGTACTTTGTTACAACAGCTCAAGCTAAGACATTTTCCCTCCTTCTTTACTGGGGATGATGGGAGGTAAAAAACTTAGAGGAAATCAGCCGGGCGCGGTGGCTCAGACCTGTAATCCCAGCACTTTGGGAGACCAAGGCGGGCGGATCACGAGGTCAGGAGATGGAGACCATCCTGCCTAACACGGTGAAACCCCATCTCTACTAAAAATACAAAAAAAATTAGCTGGGCGTGGTGGCGGGCACCGTAGTCCCAGCTACTCGGGAGGCTGAGGCAGGAGAATGGCGTGAACCCGGGAGGCGGAGCTTGCAGTGAGCCGAGAAAGCGCTACTGCACTCCAGCCTGGGTGACAGAGCCAGACTCAGTCAAAAAAAAAAAAAAAGCTTATAGGAATTCAGTCTTTGACAGACTTTGCATTCTAGGGTGCTGGGTCAGGAGGTCCCTGCAGCCCCTCAGGTCCCCAGTAGGTGACTCCTGACCAGTGTCTTGCCAGGCTGGCTGATGGCTCATGTGCCCACAGAGCCTGACCCACCCACTCGGGTTTGGGGTGGGGCTGCCACACCTCTCCTGGCTGTCCTGGCCGGGCTGGTATCTGGGTCAGTGCCCACCTGGCTCCCCGATGCACAGCTCCAGGTAGAAGCAAGGACCAGTAGTCTGGATGCCAGCCCTAAAACCTGCGAGCTCACATCCTCCTTGTCCATGGGGTTGGGGCCAACAGAGCAGCTGCCTTGGCCCGGAAGCAATATGTTCACAGACACACCTACAACGTCCCTTTTAGTTTGATGAACGAAAGTTCTGCTGACTGGGTTTCCTTTCAGACTGGGAGCTGTCCGGTGTTACCTGTCCTCTGTTACAATGTTTGTTTCCGATGGCCGGAGCTGGGATTCAGCATCCTGTCCCACTTGTGCCTGTTTGGGATGACTTCACATCAGTAGGGGACAAGGCTATGGGATGAAAGGACCCCTTGCTGAGTCCCTCAGCTGGGCTTCTACTGAACATTCCTGCCACAGGGGAGCAAGGGGAAACTTCCTCCACAGAGACTGTCGGTCCTCCCTAACAGCACTGTAGCCTTTTCAAGGTTGCTAACAGCTGGCTACCATTCCAACAAACCAGAAAGGAATATTACAGGAAAGGAAAGGAGAAGTGGTGTGATTGCAATTGTTGGTTTAGGTGCCTGTCTTTCTAGGAGTCTGTTTGCAATTGGAGGGAAGGAGATCTGTCTTCCTCTCTATCATATCCCCAACACCCACACACCTAGGGAAAAGAGTTGGGGCCCCCTCACATGTCGAGTGCCTACCAGCCTGCATGACAGCTCTGTGGAGCTATGCCCTTGTGTGAAGAAAAAGTCACCTCTTTCCTAGTGGAGGCAACCCTCAGAGCACATCCAACAGAGGAGCACAATCTGTATTTCAGCACCCATGCACCTTCCACTCCCCCCACACACTCCACACTCCTGGCTAAGCCAAGCACCTTTGTGCAGTGCACAACCTGCACATCTGTTCATGGCATCCCTGAATGTAGAATGTGTTCAAAACATGTAGTTAGGTTGAATTCATCAATAGGGAGAGGCTGCAAATGCCAAGTAGGCAGCCTGGTCCAAGTGGGATTTTGCTGATTTGACTTTATACAAGGAATCGGGCTTTTTGGAAAAAAGCAGTTTCAGACTAAATAGTGTGACCACTGTCATTTGGGAAGGTTCTTGGTCTGCTCATGGACAGAGCCCTAGGGGAATAAACCTGTTCTGCATCCTAGAGATCCTGAGACTCCTGCCTACCTTTGTCCAGGAACTGCTACAACAGCCCTGCTCCCATCAGCGTTATGGTGGAAAATAGCAGAAACATGGCTAGAGCACTCCAGCTGCCCCGTCCCCTCCCCAGTCTACACCAGGGCTCCCAGCATAGGAGCCAGCACCCAACTCAGCACAGCAGGAGAGCTGAAACCCACAGCGCCCAGCACGTGATGCCCAAGCTCTGCTTCCCCGTGAGGGAGACAATTCGCCTGAGAAATATTAACCCCACCTACTTTACAACAGAATGAAGATTTAAGTACTGCATAGGTCCAAGGCACAGGGCCATTATTCTAGATCTCCAGCCCCCTCCCTCCAGGGCTCGCATGCTAGCAACCCAAAAGGTACACTCCCAGCGACACCATATACTGTCTGTCCTGTATTGGGCCTAGTCCACCGACCTGGCTGCAGCTAGCTCCTCCCATGCTGCCCCGGGTGTGTCTTCATTACTGGGGGAGAATCGTTCCAAGTCAAGGGTAGACATGGAGCTGTAGTCTCTAAATATGGGAGCCTAGAGGAATAGAGGCTTTAGATCCATGAGAATGCAAGGACAACAGCAGGTCCAACTTCATTCTTCAGCATTCACCTAACATTCGATTTAATTCAACAGATATTTATCATGTGCTTAGGACGTGTCAGGCACTGTTCCTGGGCACTGGGGTATGGGAATGAACACGCTCTGAGTATCTGCCTCTGCAGAGCTTCTAATGTAGTCACATTTCTCTTTCATGGGCATTGATCCCCCAGAGCACGCCACGTCAGCAGGCTCTCGCTTGCTATGCCACTCACATTCTGCCTGATCTTCACTGTGCAAAACAGAGAGTCCAGTCTGGGAGTGACAGCGCCCAATGAGAGAGGCACTGC